ATAAACTTCCATGGTATATCCGATGAGTTTGGCGAACATTTTGTTAACCAGCCTTTGATATGTGGCCCCAGCATTTTTAAGACCAAACGGCATCATAGTATAACAATATAATCCTCGGGCTGAATAAAAAGATGTATGTTCTGCCTCTTCAGGGTCCATTGGAATTTGATTATAACCTGAATATGCGTCCATAAAACTCATCAATTCATGTCCAGCTGTGGCATCCACCATATAATCGATATGCGGTAAAGGGTAACTGTCTTTGGGACAGGCTTTATTCAAGTCGGTGAAATCGATGCAAAGTCGCCATGCACCGGAACTCTTTTTCACGAGAACAGGATTTGACACCCAAGTCGGATATTTGGTCTCTTGAATGAACTTGTTGTCAACCAGTTTTTGAACTTCTTCTTCGAGAGCTTTCTGTCGATCAGGACCGAGTTTACGTCGTTTTTGGACCACTGGTTTAATTGTTGGATCTAAATTGAGTCGATGAGAAGCGACCTTTGGATCAATTCCTTTCATATCTTCGTGTTTCCAGGCAAATACGTCGGAATTAGCTTTGAGGAATTGAATGAGCCGAGTTCGTATTGGTTCTTGAAGATTGGCCCCAATTTGTACCGACTTGTGACAAACTGGATCATCAATGAATATTACCTCGACTTCTTCTGACGGTTCGGCTCGTTCAAGTTTGCTTTTCTCCTTAAATTGAATTCGAGGATCAAGTACATCTTCTTCTCTGATTGGCTCTTTTCCCGGACGTCTCCCACGATCACAAACCAAATCGTCGTTTAATTTCACAGGATCGAGTTCCATCTCGGTAATGCATGATTCCGAGTTAATGAGTATTGAACTATCTCGATTTTCTTCAATATCCTCCATCATATGTACAGGCATACAGGGTTCATGCCAGGGCTTAACCCATACCATTCTGCGAGCTTCGTACTGGTCTCCATAATGAGTTCCTTCTCCATTATTAGTAGGAAATTTTAGTGCATAATGAAATATTGATACAGCTGCACGAAGCTTGTATAAAGCAGTCCGTCCAATAATAGCGTTATATTGATTTTTAAGATCCATGACCTTAAATGTCTCCATAATTACTTTGGAAGCTTGTCCAGGGATTCCGAACCGAATTGGCATAGTGATTTCGCCAAGGGTTGTCGTTATAGTTCCATTAAAGCCTTGTACTTGATCTTTACAGGGTTTTAGCTCAGCTGGATCGATTCCCATTTGTTCAAATGTACGTAACATCATAATACTTGAATATGCTCCAGTATCTACCAACATTCGATGTATCGGTATTCCACATATGGGTGCCGTGATTATCAAGGGATCAGCATGAGGGTGAGCAAAATAGCTTGCATCGTCAACATTGAATGTGATCGGGCAATTGTTCCGAGCATTAATTTTATCTCGGAGGTCGGTAGTTAAAACTATTTTTCCCGAGTTAAAAGCTTTTCGTGCGTACGCTTTTATTTGTCTTCGTGATTCCGACATTGCATTACTGCTGTTATTAACCCGGGGGACATGGTGTGAGTTGTCAGGATTATAGTATCCTCCCCGGTACATCATTTCAGTCGAGTCTTTTTCTCGTTGATTCGTCATATATATTTCTTTCTCATTTGATCTTACCCGTTTTGGATTAATTGGACGCTCTTCATCGTCTTCATCGTCTGGTATGTCTGGCATTCTTCCTTTTCGTTTATAATCAACATTCTTGGCAAATCTTTGGACTTGAGGATGTCCAATAAGCCGCAACAAGGCAGAAAGTAAACCAAGACATTCATCAGTATTATGGCCTGCCGACTTATGATATGAACAATATCTTGTTTTATCAAGTTTTTCTTCGGGTGTTCTGACAGGTCGAGGATCAGGAAGAATTCCTTTCCCTTTTAATTCTTCAAATATTGTTGCCGCTCCTGCCGAAAATACCGTCTGATAGCTAGATTTAACTTCATTGAGATATTTAGTTCTGGCTTCCTGCACTTCGGGGATTTTTGGATTCCCAAATCGAGACTTATTTGGCTTGAAAAATTTATTTTTCTTCTTTTTTGATTCTTGCCCGACGTCCGACTTCAACGAGGAAAAGTCGATATTAGGAACCGACATTGATTCTTCGGCTAAAATGTGCTGTTGAGCCCGAGCTAGAAAGTCTTGAAACGAAGTCGGTTTATTTTGACATATACTCCATCGGAACAACGAGTTTGGTTTCAATCCGGCTATAGCTGTGACCAATAGTGTTTCGGGATGGCATTGCTCCATATTTTGTATGCGCTCATTGAACCGAGTAATGTAGTCTTTCACGCTTTCATCATCTTTTTGTACAATATTTGCGATTGACTCCTTGGGAATTAAAGATACTCGGGCCCCGATAAAATGAGAGCGAAAAGCTGTTCTCAACTGCTGCCACGTAGAGATTGAATACCGGGATAAAGAATGATACCATTTTTGAGCTCGTGGTCCCAAAGTTAAGGAAAACATCCGACATCTGAGTGCTTCATTCGCTGCATGAAGATCCATCCAGGATGTGTATTGACCGAGATGGGCATCAGGATCGGAAGTTCCATCATATAAGCCGATTTGCGGAACTTTCACTTTAGTTGGGATTGGCTCCCTAGTCAAATGAGGAGCTAAAGGAGTTCCAACCTCTTGATACGTCTCTTCGATCACTGGAGTTCGTCGTGGCAGTCCTCCATGTTCATCTTGGCAAGTTTCCAGCTCTGCAATCCTTTTTCTTAACATTTCTAACTCTTCTGATTCGCGTCTTTGGCGATTCCTTTCAATTAAACGACGTAACTCATTCTGCCCACGACGAGCATGGGTTTGTTCGAGAGTGTGTCGTAAATCAGAAGGTTGATCATGTCGTGATAGTTCTGGTAACGATGGAGTAGACTGTCGTGGTCGATGTCCAGAATGGCTTTCTGCAGTTGCTTCTGATCGCGCTGGTTCTGGAACTCGAGTTCGTACTGGAACTACTCCACGATTTTGAGTCGTTGCATCATGTTGGGATTCACGTGCACGCGGATGGGAAGTTGCATGTGATGTTGCAGGAATATTATTTCTTCGTGGAACTGGAGTTGAGTGAGTTTGAGGATTAGCCGCCGCAGCTGGTTCTATCCTTGTTCGTGCCATAAAATCAGTTAAGTTTTTCAAGAACTCTGGATCTTGAAATAAAGCTGAATAATCAATTGATGTAGATGGCACGGCAGAAGTTCCGGTTGTATGAGTTGGATGACGATTGATCCCAGGATCAGGATTTCGTTCATTTCGTCCAGAATTCGACATCCTTTGTGTGTTGTTTTACAGGACAAACAATTGAAAAGGGAGAACCCCTTCCTCTAGCGCCAAACTGTTGCTGTCTTGAATTAACAACTTAAGATCAAACACAGTTGATGTGCAAAATCGTGAAGATAAGAGTGTAATTGAATTTTTATTGATTATATTCACAAGAGTACAGAAGTCGGTTTTAAGCTGAAAACCGAGATTGTCTTAAGTTCGTGTACAATGTGATCAAAAGATCCGATCCTCGTACTATCATAAATTCTGCTATTTATAGTACGGTGGTTTTTGTCTTCTTCCTCGAAGTGGATAGAGATGCATTTAATATTGAGCTGCTTTGTTTGGGGCGGCTGGAAACATCAATGATTGCCTTTTTTGTTTCGTTGGTCCAATCAGATGCTTTTAATGATTACTTTCTGTTTGGAGTGCTCAAACTTTATGGTAGTCGGTTGACTTGATGTCGGTTTGTTTACGTCGGTTTCGGATGTCGGTTTCGATCTTTTTTGTCTGTCGAAATTGAAGTCGGTAATTTGCTATAATATATTCCGACTTGCGATACTTAATTCTGATTACCGAATTTGATATCAACAATTATTATCAATATAATTAAATAATATCAATCAATCATTGTCACTCGTTATATCAATTTTAGTTCACTATTCATTCACTCACATGATTTTAACTAATCACCACTTCACATCATCTTGTTAGAGTATAATGCAGAAGTTCGGCTTTGGTCCCGTAGGCCGTGTATGTTTGTACAGAGTCTGCAAAAATTTTTAACCGTAAGTTCTGATCCTAACGATAGATACCGTAGCGTTAGGATTATTTTTAATAGATTTGGATGTGCACATCAACGACGTTTCTCATAGAATGCAACACATCCCTTTCATACTTTTATATTAAATCTGCTTTAATTATTTTAATATAAACTCAAAGTATCACTAACAACTAATACAACTTTTTTCAAAGTTAATCATACCAAACCAAGAGAATCAAATAAGATGTGTTCAAGTTATTTGAGTTTAACACATCGTATATCCAAGCATGCACTTAACTTCCACACATCTTATTTGCATTTTTTTGGTTTGGTATACTTAACTTTGAAAAAGTTTGTTGGGTTAGGTTTGATTGGAATTTTGAGTTTGTATTAAAATAATATTTAAAATAAAATAATTATAGTTGATTTGATATAAAAGTATGAAAGATGTGATTTGAAATGATGTCAGTTAAAATTATACGAGTAATTAAATAGTAAATTAAAGTTGATGTGATGTGTATGCATGATTAATTGGTATTATTAAATTATATTAATGATATTGAATATAATGAAGTTGAGTTAAATTTGAATCCAGATTGATTTT